GTTTTCACCTGTTTGATATAAAGAGAATCGAGGAGCAAACTGCTCCTTTACAATTCACAGTCTGGGGGGAGCTTCATATGAGCAGTTGTGATGTCAGTGAGGTGCTCCAACTAAGCTTCTCCATAAGGTTATTCTGCCCTGTCTTTCCATGGTCCTGTGCTTCCAGAGTTCCCTGAGGCTGCAGATGGAGAACTCCATCCCACAACGGGAGACTAAAACTACTTGAGACTACAAGGAAAGCCTCGGATAAAAGGCCAATAACAGCTGCAGAGCCCCTTTATGCCTGGCTCCGTCACCCCAGACAATGCAATGCAGCGCTGCAGGACAAGGCAACTTTCTTACAGAGTAGACACTGACAAACCAGACAGACTCTCCAGATAGCTGTGTGTTGTGCCAAAATGCATTTTCCCATCTCTGTAGAGCCTCGTGACTTATCCGAAAAGATCTCCTAGAGTACGCAAGGAAAACTCTCTCTTGATAAGGCCGGTTTAACTACTGGACACTAGCAGCCACAACACATGTAGCTATCCTCGCAAGTAGCCTGTTTGCTCAAGCTGAAGTGCTTTGTGAAAATCAGACCCAGCAACTCCTTGTGAAGCGCGATTTGTGAAAAGATGGCTGGGCATGTCAAACTTCTGCGCTAAAACCAACTGGGCTGTTTGATAAGTGTGATAGCGCTAAAGATGACCACTCACCACCTCCCCGTCAGTGTTTGTCCACCACAACCCAAACGGCAGCCCGACCGTGACTCTCAGTCCCGAAATCACTCGACAAGCAGCTTCTACCATGACCGTCCTGGTCGTTCAGGAATAGATGTCCCTGCTTCTTCGATCATGGATTATCCCAGGTACCAGCGCTCGCCACAACGACGAAACGCAAGCTCCGAGCAGGCTCCGACCCAACAGACACTGAGTGCCGTCAATAATAATAATAATAGTAATACCAACCTTGGGGGTATGGCTGGAGAGCCCACCGGTGGCCGGACTTCATCGGGCTCTGCCAAATCTTTAGCAGCCAGGACGCCCGTGAGTGCCGCTTCCCTGCCAGCTTTGGACAGTTCCCGATTTCTGACAGCTTTCGTGTGACTAGCCCGACAAGCAACTCTCGCAGATTGAGAAAAGCGTCACCCACCTTCTTGTGGCAACTAAGGAACTCCTAGAGACGTTAACACAATGGTCAAGGGGCCAAGCAACCGAGGTCAAAGTCTCCGACGTGTACGTTCGCCTTGGATATGAGTTCAACCTTGCTTGTCGGGCATTTGGGGCAATCGGAGTTGATACTTCAGACCTGGGGCCCGTTCCCGATTTATTACGAACCATTCTCGAAGATACGCTCAGTCAGGATGCATGCACCGAAAGTCTCGACAGATATTTACCTCGTATACGCGACATCATCATCAACCTACTCCACGGATTGAAGCGTAAGCAAGCACGGTTACGATCCAGACAATCAAAAGGTATACCACCCCGTCAGGGAAGCCAAGGAAGTGCTGCAAGCGGAGAAACCGCCCTGCCACCACCGGATGAAGCGCGGCTGCCATCTCCGTCAAAACGGCCGTCAGATGGCGGGCGGAGCAATCCCTACGATGATCAGGTCTCCGTAGCGAGCAGGAATACCTCGTCCAACTGGCCTAGTGATCGTCAAGGCGCAACGTATTCTGAAAGAGACGCTATCAGAAGAGATGCACAGCGTTCCATAGTCGCGTCTATTTCATCATCGTCCATCTCCAGCTCGACGATGCAGAACATGCCTGTGCTTCAGCCCAACGATCAAGGATCGTCAACCGGTCGCTCCCAATCGCCTGCCAGTCAGAACCAGCTCCGTAATTTTCCTCATCCTCCTCCGCCACCACCAAAAACAAACGATGCAATCGGTATGCTACAGAGGAGTGGAGAGCTCGAACGCAGGGCCTCGCGACGATTTTCCGCATACCAGATTCAAAAGCATCTCGGGTCTACAAATGGAGTTCCAGTCCTCCCGACTTCTCAGTCGTCGCAGTTGTCCAATCGAGGGCGTGACGTACGTGAGTCGATGAACGCCGTGCGACTGCGTGGTCCCGTTCAAGGCCGGCAGAAGTCAGGTAATCGTCGAGTTGGAGACACTAGTCGGCTCCCAGTCACTCCCGAACCTACTCTCAAAACCAGAATAGAACCACCGCCGGAATCCACCCCCGATGGCACTCCAACAGATAAGATTCGAGATCAGCATGACGCTGAAAATAGTGATATTTTCTCTGCGGACAAGGCAGCTCCAGCCTTGCCTCAAATTCCGGAGCGAGACTCGCTTCAGGATGAAGTGGATAAAGCTGGCAAACGTGAAGCTGAAAGTGATGAGATTAGAATTACGACCATGGATTCGGACCAGTCGCGGCCGACGCAGTTTACCCCGGAGATGTCACCTCCGCCACCTAGTAAAGAACTCACTCTGTTCTTGCAATACAAGTCGAAGATTAAGAAATACGTGCTCCCAGAAGGATGTGCAGGTCTAACCATTGGGAGACTCCAGTTGGCTTTTATTGAAAAGTTTGCCTGGAATACGCATAACAACGGAGTAGATCTACCCGAAATATATATCCAGGATCCAGTTTCTGGCGTTCGCCATGAACTGGAAGACCTTGGTGATGTGAAAGATCGCTCAGTCCTCGTTCTGAACGTTGAGGCACTTGATGAAGTCAAGAAGCATATTGACGAAAGCGTTGGCGGCATTCGTCGGCTTATTGAAGGAATGCGGGATACCGTGGATGGTCAGGCCACGTCTATTCAGTTATTGACCGACCGCCAGCAGGATGCGGCCAAGGAGATTGCACGGCTTGGGACCTCCCCAACGCCTATAGCCGCAACAAATGGACAAACTCTTCCCTTATCCAACAAGGGTGGCTATGTGGCGGAGATACAGAGTTTACGTCGTGACCTTGCTGTCCTTCGACAGACGTATTCCACCTTCTCGTTGGATGTTTCAGCATCTATGAACAACGTCCGAACTAAAGCCGGCGCTGTAAAGGCCGCGGCAGCCGACATGAGCGTCCCCTCTTTTGAAGGTGATGCCGGCCGCGCTCGCATAAATGCAGGCAAAAAGGAATTAGCCGATGAATCTGAGAAACTTGTCGCCCGCGTCGACGACCTACAAGACCTTGTTGAAGATCTCCGCAAGGACGTTGTGACCCGTGGAGTGCGACCGTTGCCAAGACAGCTGGAGGCCGTCGGCCGCGACATCAGCGCCGTCACTAAGGAATTGAAGAAGATGCAAGACTTCCTCAGACGCGAGAAGCCAATTTGGACCAAAATCTGGGAGAAGGAGTTACAGCAAGTTTGCGAGGAGCGTGATCAACTCACCATGCAAGAAGACCTTGCTGTCGATCTGGAAGACGACCTTGAGAAAGCTACGCAAACGTTTGCGCTCGTCGAACAAGCTACTAAGCAGCAAGCTCTTCACGGCGCGGATCCCAACGGTAATGCCCCAGTTCCTGGTTTCAGAGTCCCTTCGCGGACACTCCCCCCAGATGCAGCCATCGATCCAGTGAAAGCAAAGGACAGTGTTCTGGGAGAAGTCCGCGCTCTCCAGCCAAACCATGAAAATCGTGTCGAGGCGATTGAGCGGGCAGAAAAGGCAAGGCAAAAGGAATTAGAAAATCGACGCGTCGGCAAATTCCAGAAAGAACTCGGTGCCTTTGTGCAACAGGGGAAGTTGAAGAAGAGCGGTGGGTTTGAAGAGGCAGAGCGGTTAAGAAAAGCTAAGGATGAAAAGATCCGAAAAGAGGCTTGGGAGCGGACTCAAGGACTGAACACGGAAGGATCCGTGGAAGATCAACCTGCCAATGGGCCGCCAAAAGATGGGCCATCCGATGAGAACACTGAAACCGAAACCCCCGCTGCAGAGGAAGGGGAAGAGCCCGAAAGTCCTATCATCAAGGACACAGATGTCGCTCCCACGGTGCCTGCGGCCACTGCCACTGCTGCTGAAACCCCAAGGCGTGCTTCGGGTGTAGATAAGCCATCTTCGGATGCCCCCGGTACGTCTGAACAAGATGAGCAAGGGCAGTGAGCTTGCTGACGGCAAATGCAGTGTCGCCGCCGCCTAAACGCTCTTCTTGGCTGGGGTCGTTTCTCTCTAGCTAATCGACTTTAGAGAGCTCTCGGGAATCGCTACGGCTCACAGCGAAATCCAATCTATTATACTTATCTAACTTGCTCTGTTCCTTCCCTTATCCCTGCAGTTCATTCAGTTTTTCCTTTGTGCTGTTTGGTTTCGCTGCTGGGATCGGTCACATCGTGATGCCACTTGATGTCCCTTTCCATTTGCCATCCATGATTAATGACCGTGAGCGTGAGGCGTTTTTCTGAGGGAGGTTCTCTTTTCTCTATACATATGATGCCATCTCCAATCATGTCCGCCTTTTCCTCTTTCATTTCCATTTCCCTTTCCCTTTCCCTTATCATTTATTCTTCGCAAAGTCCCTCTCAGCGATCCCTCCCCAGCACCATTTACAGAAACGAAGTTCCTCTTTTACCTTCATGATACCCCCTGTTGCTGTTTCAAGTACATATGAATACTTGTTTTCCTGTTGATATGATTGAAGCTCGCTCACCTCATGATATGTGCTTCAGTTTGTATATTCCTTGTTTTGCGCTACTCTTTTGTCTGATGAACTGTTGAAGGGTGTAATCGGAATTTAATACTTATTTTATGAAAGATCATATATTGAATATCCAAAGTATAGCTCGTAATCTTTCCGCTCCATGATGTAGCAATGCAAAGTAGTTTTCGGGCTCAAATTGGAGATATTGGGCACATAAGGAAGAAGGCAGTGTTGGCCAGATCAAGAGACCGGCATATGAAGCCGGAACCAATGCTAGCATTCCCATTGTTGAGGAATGAGAACGCAGAGTCTGAGAATTTCTTTGACTGAAACACCCTCCTGGGTGTTGCATCTCTGTGTTCTACACCTCACGAACACCTCACAAACCACTTCCTTGATAAATGCAGTTCTTCTTGTGGCCCCCCAACTTCTACCTCGCTCTTATCACAATTGCTCTGCCAGCCCTTGCCTCTCACTGTCCAGATCTAGCTGTAAATGCAACATCTGAGCTCTCGTGGGAAGACGACATCCGACACGATGCTTCGATCAGACGCAGACTCCTCTCAGAGCAGCCCCTTGCGGTGCGCAAGATGACAGACGACGAGGGCGAGAAGTTTTGGATGCACTACTGGCATTTCAACGATGACCACCGTCATCGAAAACCGGATATCCGAAGAGATGGAGATGGTTATGGAAACGGCGGCAGCAGCGTCGAAATACAGCCAGCGTACCCCAGACACTTTGGGCACGCAAGGTTCGATTTCTCCCTCTTCGGCCAGGTCTTGTCGATTCCCAGGAATTTGCATCCGAGCAAGCTCTTCTCGAAGCGCGATTTCCAGTGTCCTGCCAACACTCGTCCCTGCACCGCTATCTCCCGGCCAAACAGCTGCTGTGCTGTCGGAACAACATGCCAAACCATCCCGGACACTGGCCTGGGAGACGTTGGCTGCTGTCCTGGCGGGAGTAGCTCGTGCGCCGGAAAGCTCAAGTCTTGTCCGGATGGATATGCAAACTGTTCAGAATTCCCCGGCGGAGGATGCTGTATCCCAGGATACACCTGCGTCAAGAACGGGTGTCTATTCGTCTCCACGACCACGGTCACTATCCTCCCGTCAACCTCACCAGTACCATCTAGCACTCCAGCACCACCGACGATGACAAGCACGACAACCACACCCCCCGTTGAGCCGCCTATCCGCCCAACATCCAGACCAACAACCACCGCGACAACCACACCTCCCCCCGAGCTCCCCGCCGAATGCCCCGCCGGCTTCTACGCCTGCAGCGCCTACTACATCGGCGGCTGCTGCCGCACCGGCCGCGACTGCAACCCAACATCCTGCCCACCTCTCACCCCCTACACAACAATCAACTCCAACGGCATCACCATCGTCATCCCCGCTTCCGCCACGAACCCCTCGCAGCAAACGCGTACCTGCGCCGACGGCTGGATGACCTGCAGCCCCGATGCGGGCGGAGGATGCTGCCCCGATGGTTTCCGGTGCGGGCGTGAGAGTTGCACGTATTCCGGGGCCCGGACGGCGGACGCTAGTGCGAGAGGGCCGGAAGTAGTGGACAAGGTTCCGCCGGAGAGTTCGGGGCGGAGAGTCTGTGCGAATGTGATTTTTGGGGCAGTGGCGGAGCCGAGGTATCTTTGGGCTGGCGCCCTTGGGGTATTGGGCCTTGTGGGGTGGATCTGGTAAGCTCCGTTTGCAGTTTGTTCTTCATTCTTTTGGTGTCTGGGTCCGGAGTGGAGTTTATTTGCTGGGACCTTTTCATGTGCTTATGCTGTTTCACATGCTTCTTCTCTTCATTTTTTTTCATGATGATGATGATGATTCACGACTGATGATGGTGCTGTGGATGATATCAATGACACTAAATGGGTTCACCAAAAATCAGAAATTTATCCTGAAATATATGCAGATACGGAAATCCCATTTTATCTATCTGTCTAAAATGTCTATCCAGGCCCAAATAGAACCCAAGAGCTCCATTGAACAGAAATCGCCCAAGCATTATCACAAGGGGAAAGCAAATCGCTCCAAAATCTAATAGTTACATGTCACAATAAATAAAAAGTCAAAAATGAGAAGAGATATTTTCCAAAATGACCAAATCACAGCTTACTCGTCCTCTCGTTCTTCAACAGCGCTTCATGACCCGGGTACGGATCAAAAGTCATAGCGTTGACCGGGTTCAGCTCGCTAGCCCGATGGAACAGATCCTCGTAGACCTTTCCATCGTATCGGCCCAGCGCGCTATCGAGCTGCCAATCGGGGAATTTCCACGAATCCACAAGGCGCAAAGCATGGGGGCGGATCTCCTCGAGAAGAGCCATGACGGCCTTGGTGCGAGCGAGGACAATCTGTCTCGTCGTCACGGCACCGGAAGTGAAGAAGTCAGAGGCTTCGCGCTCAAGGGTGTGGAGAGCGTGCAGGCGGAATAACTTGTGCATGACGGTCATTGTTTCTGGGCCAAGAGCGGCGGCGGTGGCGGGCGAGGAAACTGCTTCGTAGAAATTCTTGACGACGAGATATTGGGAGTGGGCGGTGGAGAGGCGCCAGAAGTCGACAAGGAGGCTGTTCCAGGACCTCTTTTCAACGTCTCGGTGCTTGAGGGCCTCAAAGGTCAAGTAGGCCGTGCGCCAGGCAAAAGCGTCAACAATGTCCTTGTCGTTGTCAAGGACGTCAAAGGCGGCACCAACATCTCGGCGAGCGAGATAACTTTTAAGCACACGGCATGTATCATTGTTGGCTGGTTTGCCTGCAATAACGGAACGAGCAGATTTGAGGAGCTGATGGAATGTTAGTTTTCTCGCTCTCCGTCAATTACTGAGACGCTGGGATAGAACTCACATAACGAGCTACTTGCTGAGTGAGCATGTAGTTGTCACCCTCCCAAGTGGCGGTGGGAAGGTAGTCCGAGTACCATGGGCCAATACCGCTGTAGCTGCTGTAACCGTGTCCACCGCAAGCACGACGGCAGGCTTCCAAGCCCTCGACGGCAATCGTGCTGCCTAACGCCTTGAGACCGCAGGATGTTGCATGGAGATCGGCTAAGAGATCAGCACCAGGGTTCAGTTGCTCTGGGCCGGCGCCTCTGGTCTTGGTTCCCTTTTCCGTGGCCTTCATCAGACTCTGATTTTGCTGGTAAAGAGCCATCATACCACGACCTGTGAAATGCAGGGCAAACGTGGCAGCCAAAAGAGGCAGCAGTCGAATCTGAACCATCTTATAGTTGATGACCTGATTTTCCCCAACTTCGGAAGCCGGAGCATCACGGTCTTGGAATTGCCTTCGGACTGCGCAGTATCTGGTGGCAATAGTAACCCCACGGGCAAGCACCCCTCCGGACTGGAGGACAATAGTAGAACGGACCCACGTCAAAGTTCCGTACACCAGGGAGGGAGACGCCGGACGGATGTATTTGCCAGTATCTGGATCAACTCTGGAGAAGCGGGCCAACATGTTCACATGTGGGATTTTGACATGATTGAAGAGTAAGAAACCATTGTCCATGGTGCTGCGCAAATAATATTAGAAAGAAGTATTGAAGCAAGATGGCGATTAATTACTTACTTATACCCAAACTTTGGACCAATATCCCCAACATGGACGTTCTCAAGTGGCTCATGGGTTTTCAAGTCGCGAACCTGCACTACAAAAGGATGCGGGCCGTAGCTTTTCCCTTCGATAATCAACTGTGCCATCACAACAGCGTGGTTTGCAGTTCTACCAAGCGAGCCAATCCACCATTTTGACGCTGTGAGGGTTGGCGAATGGATGACAAAGGTTTTGTCAGTGGGATCCCAGGTGGCCGTGGTCTCGAGGCCACGGACGTTCGAGCCATGACCAAGTTCGGTTTGTGCGTAGCAACCAATGTATTCATAATTCTCCGCACGGGTAAGGAAGAGCTTGTGCTGCTCAGGGGTGCCTTGCTCCCTGAGTGTGACCTGGATGTTAAATCAAAATTGCGGGTTAGACACACAGATTGCAAGACATTGCTCAATATCTTCACGGACTCACCAAGAACATGCTGGCATGGAGCCCATAGGGAGTGGGCTCGGCGAGCAAGTCGTTCGCCATGTGGAAATCTTCCTGGGACCATCCGTGTTGCGTTCTCAGGTTCTGGAGGCGCTTCGCCTTGCCGAGAGATCTCTTGAGACGTTCGACGCGGCCGAGACTATGGTTTTGGGACTTGTCGAAGACCGGCTCCTTCTCCATGATTTCAAGAATTCGCTCCTGTCTCTGCAGGGTTTCACGGGTGTGAAGAAGCTCAGCGAGCTTGTCCACAGACACATTGGACTTTGCGCGCTCTTGGGCGAGAAGCTCTGAGCCTTGCGGCCCAGAAGGCCGCAGCTTCGTCACCCAGTCGGGAGTGGGAGACATGAGTAGACGGATGAATTAATAAGGTAGATGAAGAAGAGGTGTGGGAATTGAAGTCTACGAGGTTGAATTTTGTGACTGACAGGGAGAAAAGGAAACAAGCTTGTTTAGCTGCAGGCGGCGGACATCATTAATATAAGAGCACTCCGTCCGCAGGATCACAAGTAGCCGGCTGTTTGCCGCAAAAACCTCGAGATGCGCGGCAGATGGGCTGACTTGCTCAAAGCGGAATCTGCCGAGGTCCACGCAGCTGGAGGCTTACATAACCGTTCCAGCCCTCCAAACAAGGTTCCGACATCCCGAGATGCGGCTCCGAGCAACTGCGATATACTTTGCGGTTGCTTGTGGAATCCATACATTCCAAAGTCACTCCGAGTCCCAGCGTGAATCTCGGTATTCGGGATGAGTCGGGCCATGCGGCGGGATTATGTCATCATAGCAGCAAACAAAACAAACCAGTTAGAGACTAACTAAAACCGAACTAGTGGCTTGGTGTGGCTCCGGGCCAATGGGAAACCAGCGGAGAGCAATCCCAAATATGGGTTACTTTGTACATTTGATGTCGGGGCCGCCTACTGCTTTAATAGCATCCTGAATACATCCTTGCCTGCCTACCCGCATACTGAAGGTCAGTTCCCACTCTAGTTCCTTTTTTCCAAACACATATTTCAACTCGAACAACGTTAACGCTAGAGCCCACGCCCGACATTCGTTAATTCTATTTCGCAGAGTATGACCATAATCTGAGCCCAGAAAGCCGGCCCCCTTCACGGTTACTCTCTCTGTGATCAGTCCCGGTCCTCGATCACCCGCGTGGTAAATTTCCTTTCGCTTGCACGTCGCGGAAGGTTGCTTGGGGGCAGGTTGGCGTTCGATCCGTGGATCAATGCGATACTTCATCGTATCGGAATGGTACCAGCCGCCTCCTTTCCAGTTCATCGGGTTTTCAGGGTCATTCCCATCACATCCGTCGAGGATTTGAACAAGAAAATTGTGTTTACACTCCGTAACGTTCAATGGGGGGCCGGTCCCAGGGCGGAAGTCCAAGGCAACATCCACCTCTTCCTGGGTGCCCTTAAGATAGGTTCTTGATATTGATCCCGACCCCGGGTCTAGCTGGCCTCGTATCTTGCACGTCTTTTCATCCAATTGGCCCTGGCCGAAGGCCGTCGGGCAAAATTCATCTTCGATGATTGAAGCGATCCGATCCCGCGACACGTACTTATTACCCTTTAAGCCATGGCACGATTTACGAGATTCCCTTGGAACTCTGAGGTTCCGGCGGCCCAATCCTCGTTTGGTGGATGACTACAGGCGGATTAGACCGAGAGTGGGACTCTTTGCTGCATAGGTATCTACACGTACCTTTGGTGGTACCCTCATAGGGTAAGTGCAAATAACTTGCTCTGTGGAGTCTCGTTTATGTGTTAATTGCGCCTCGTCTCTGTTGGGAATAGCGGTTTCATTCAGCCATAACGACGAAATCGCAAACGATGAACAAAAAGGGAAAATACAAGTTGCATAAAAGAATAGTTGAAGCAGCCTCATTACCAAGGAATCCTTCTAGGTAAATGGAACAAAATATGTTCACGACGGCTCGAGATAACGATAACGTATATTTTAAAGGGAATAAGTAGATAAAGAAAAAGAGCATTCGATCCAGGCAGATGATAGATAGGGTCCCTTCCGATAAGCCTGTTTATAACCGGGGCAGTCCAGCGGAGATATTACTGGAAAGATCCGTTCATCAGGTCCGGTGCAAGTAAAACGGCAACAAATGGAAACGGTCGCTCGACGGACCAGGCATGAAACTTGGCTCTGTCCAACCACTTGTATGAGTTAATCTGAATCTCTATGAATAAATCAGCAACCGTACGGATTAGCGTCGCTCATCCGGGGCCTAGAAGTCCCAATACCAGCGTACAAGTCCCGAGCGGAGCGCATGATCGACTAGATTAGTTATAGCTTCTTTGGGGTGAGGGCATACAGAACCCTCAGTGTTAGCTACCATTGCTCCTTTCCACCGCATTAAGGATGCCCTCCTGGTCGGCCTCATTGCCATGTCCAGCAATTTGGTGACGCGAGATATGTCCACCTACAGGCTCTGAGGTTCAGTGAGTGCAAAAAGAAATGCTTGTAATGCATAATAAAAACAGGTAGCGATCATTTGGTTGTATGGTAGATGGGTAGTGATTGATGATAAACAGTATATACAGCCAGAGACTTTGCTTGCTGTGAATATCTCAATAAACACCAATCCATCCATATGACCATTGCGATCAAGGTGTGATGCCGGCAAAGGAGCAGTTTGCGGTTGAGGTCGTCAACCTCGCTTGACCTTCCCAGCCAGGATTCGTAGACAACTTGGCCGGCAACACTCCAAACTCCACTTCACATCATCACCAACCTAGCAATAAAGGCCAACACTGCTCGCATCACGGCCCTGGCCCAATTTAAGTTGCCTGTATTCATTCAGGTTTATTTGCAAGCAGAGACAGTCCATTGTCACCACCGATACACCTTGCACAACAAACAATTGCGTTATCGCCGCTCCAAACCACCAATCCGAAAACCCTTCTGACTCCGTCACCCACCCCCCGCGCGTCGCATTCCACCCTTGACAGAGACCTCCGGCCATGCCTGCAAGGCCCGTTTCCCTTTCTGCTCGCTCGCGCTGCTTACTCCGCGCGCCCAAACATTCTCAGCGCCAGCCTTTCTCGACACGGGCCCCCCTCTCCGGCGCTCATGAGCCACACTATGACCCCCCGACAGGCTGGCTGTGGGGAGTTAAACCTGGGCAGAAATATGTAAAGGAAGGATGGGAGGGTCTATGGACGTATGGGTTTGTCGGAAGTTTGGTGGTTGCCGGAATTGCATATGCATTTAAGCCGGACACCTCGTACGTATACCCCCCCAGTGTACATCTGTTATCGCAATGCTTGGTATCAGTTGCATCTCCGGGCCAACCTAACTCACATTTTCTGGTCAGGATACAAACGTGGGCTTTGGAAGAAGCGAGACGACGACTCGAAAAGGAAGGCATTCTCGAGGATCCCGACACTGTGCGAAAGGAATGAATTCTGTATTCCGAACTTCAACGTTTCCACCCCACCTGCTGTACATAGAATCTCCGACACGTGAGGTTGAAAAGACGGATAACGGGGCTCTTTCGTTCAATTTAGACCAGTGACGATAATCATTAAAAACAATGTTGCCGCGTTTAAGTTAGATGTGCAGTGAAGGAGATTTTGTGATCTTACTCGACGGTATGATTCACTTTTTTTTGTCACGGTATTTAGTAGAAGAATGGAGACGATGCCTGGATAGATATTTGGTTTGTATCAATACTACCATCTATATGCAAGTTGAAATATGTATGTACATGGAACGTGTAGAATGTGTATGGACAGCGTTTTGAAACATCATCAAACTTCAGGATACACATCTGTCCTCCTCAATAGCGGCATTTCAGTCCGCACCTTTGTCAGCAAATCGAAATCAATATCGGCCACCGCAATTTCTGGCTCCTCATACTCGCCCCCTAGTTTGGCAACAACCTCTCCCCACGGATTGACAATCAACGAATGACCATAACTAAAGCGCTTTGGATTATGCGGGCCGCACTGAGCAGCTGCGACGATATAGGATTGCGTCTCGATCGCTCGAGCGCGAAGCAGTGTCTCCCAATGAGCCTGGCCGGTTGGTACTGTAAATGCGGACGGATATGTGATGATCTCGGCACCTTGCCGGCGTAGTGCTAAGCTTACTTCTGGAAATCGGAGCTGTAGAGCCAGGTTGCAAAAGTTGAAATCGCAGTTAGAATGGGGAATGTCCAGGGTTTAAAAATTATTTCGTGAAAACAACTGGGTTTGCGTATCGGAAGTCAGCTTACATCGAAGCATATACTTAATCCCAGGCGGCCAACTGGTGTCTCAAAAGGAGGTACAATTTTCGTCCCCTTCTCAACATTCCTTCAGGGACATATGATAAAAACGGTCAGTAAGCCGTTGGCCTATATAACCTCAAAACAGGGAGCTCCGAGATGCAGTGGAGCCCCCTTTCCCCAACTTACCTGCTCTCCTTCAAGACAGGGCCGCCTTTGATATCAACGTCAAAAAGGTGAAGTTTCTGGTATTTTTGAGTAATCTTGCCGCTCTCATCGATCCATATCAGTGTGTTTTTGACTTTCTCGCCGCCCTGGGCGGGCTCATGTATTCCGACATTGATCGGCAATTTTGCTAATCTCGCCTCCTTTTGCAAGCCCAAAACGAAGTCGCTCTCATGAACTGGCCGAACCAAGAACAGCGACTCCGTAGACGATGACGCGATGTAATCCGACGCTTCAGGTAGAAAGAGTGCCTGTACATGCCCCCGAGAGTTAGGCTATTTCCCAGTGGGAGTAAAACCGCTGGAGTGGACGGCTCAAGCACAACCTTCGCACCTGCACGAACAGCCTTCTGCACTAAGATCTGACATTGAATCAGATTATGGGCCATGCTCGCTGTCGAGCATAATTGGCCGACCGCCTGCCCACTGATTAGCAGAGGAAAAGCTGAGGAACGTTGGCTTAGTTCTATAGTTACCGCTCTCGTCATCTTGAAGTACTTCAGGCGCAGGAGCACTTTACACTAGTTAGTGGTCCCTTGATTTGCAGTGGGAGTGCCTGAAGACGAACAGACAGCCTACATCCCGTCGCTGTCTCCACGTAGCATCAACATCCTGGCCGTTTGTCGCATCGGACGTTGATGTCAAGCTCGGCTAACCTTCTCCTTCGCGAAGCTGCTAACGGACTCTATCACGTGATATCAAAGCTGCTCAAAGAAGAATTGCGCTGGCGGAACAGCATCAGACACAAGGCGAGTTCAACCAACTTGTTCTCGAGGAATTGGAACTGGCGATTCTTATGCTTGCTTGGGCTAGACACAACCGACCTCCCATCGGCACAGGCGGACGGCAAGCTGCCTACAGTTTTGGATTCACCGTCTCTTCCGAACCATCTCGGATTGTCGAGCCAGTGCTCTAGTCGCATCACGCATACTGGCGATAATAAACAGGCAATCTGGTCGCATCGAAGTCGCATACAATATCCGCGCTGTAGAAGTGAAAATACAAGTATCTATCACTCGCCATGAAAAGCTTACGGAGGAACCCCTCGTCTCACCCACACGCCGCCAATGTTTCTAGCAAAGTCTTCGTGCGAACAACAAAAAGAGGAAAGGTTCAGAAAATTGTACGAGAGCTTTATCTAAGACAAGATATTCCATGCTCGTCAAAGTTGTGCTCTTACTGCCTTTCATATGCTCCGACAGATGCCAACGACAATGGTAAGAAGGAATCAGGCCCCGCAGGTTCCCATGTGCTAACTAAACCCCCTTCCAGTTACGCCGTTTGTCCTATCTGAACGTCCGGCAGGTACAAAAGCATTCCCAAGAGGACACTACCTGATGCCCGATACCAATGCGCTCCTCAATGGAATGGACCTTTTTGAGCAGACGAGCGCGTTTTACGATGTTATTATTTTACAGACAGTGTTGGAAGAGCTTAGGAACCAATCTCCCCCCTTGTATAATCGGTTAATATCCTTGATTCGAAGCGAAGAGAAACGATATTATCTTTTTTTCAACGAGTTCCGACTAGAAACGCATGTTCGTCGAGAGCCGGACGAGAGTATAAATGACCGCAATGACAGGGCGGTGCGGACTGCGGCAAAATGGTATTCTGAGCATCTGAGCGAGGTTTTGAAGAAAAGCAAGCAAAGCTACACAGTCCCAGCAATTGTCGTTATCACTGACGACAAAGATAACATATTGAAAGCCAAAAAAGAGGGAGTTTCTGCTCTGTCATTGTCAGATTATGTCTCTGGCCTCGAGGATGCGGATAGACTTTTGGACATGGTTACTGCGTCCAGGTCGGCCCACGACGCAAAAGCCCAGAGAGGGCAACTGATCTATCCCGAATACTATTCCATATCAAAATTCATGACCGGTCTCCGTGCGGGAACTCTACATCAAGGGACATTCAACGTCTCTCCATACAACTACCTCGAAGGGTCAGTTCAGGTAGCCGCGTTTGACAAGTCACTTCTTATACTTGGGCGGGAGAATAGTAATCGAGCAATTGCCGGAGATTTAGTTGTCGTCGAGGTATTACCGAAAGATCAATGGAAGTCTCCTTCCACAAAAATCGTCGACGAAGAGGCGTTAACCAAGGACGAGAACCCGGAATTTGAAGAAAACGAAGCTGTTGTGACGGAAAAGGAACGGAGAGCACTCCAAGAGGACGTTAGAAAGGCCCATGGAACGAGCGCCGAAGGGAGAGCTCAGCCTACAGCTCGTGTGGTCGGGGTGATTAAAAGAAACTGGCGCCAATACGTAGGCAACATCGATGGAGGCTCATTCAGTGCTGAAGCTTCTTCCGGACGCCGACAACAAACAGTCTTCGTGATCCCTATGGACAAGCGGGTTCCTAAGATCAGGATACGCACCCGACAGGCTAGTGAGCTGCTGGGTCAGCGCATATTAATAACAATTGATTCGTGGGATCGAGACTCCCGTTATCCGACTGGCCATTATGTACGGTCCTTGGGTGAATTGGAAACAAAGGCCGCGGAAACGGAAGCTCTTTTACTTGAATACGACGTGCAATACAAGCCATTCTCACAAGCGGTTCTCAATTGCCTTCCGCCAGAAGGCCATGACTGGAAAGTTCCTGAGAGCCTGAACGATCCCTTGTGGAAGGATAGGAAAGACTTGAGAGATTTGCTAGTCTGCAGCATAGATCCTCCGGGGTGCCAGGATATCGATGATGCGTTACACGCAAGACCGCTTCCTAATGGCAATTTTGAAGTCGGCGTCCACATCGCTGACGTTTCTCACTTTGTCCGGCCTAATAATTCAATGGATACAGAAGCCAGTATGAGAGGAACGACGGTATACTTGGTTGATAAACGTATTGACATGTTACCGATGCTGCTCGGTACTGATCTATGCTCCCTAAAGCCGCACGTTGAACGTTTTGCGTTCTCAGTGATATGGGAGATGACTCCTGACGCGGAGATCGTGTCTGCAAATTTTACCAAATCTGTGATATTTTCTAAAGAAGCCTTTAGCTACGAACAAGCCCAATTACGAATTGACGACCAATCTAAGAACGACGACCTCACTCAAGGCATGCGCACCTTACTCCGCCTCTCCAAAACCCTGCGACAAAAACGCATGGATGCTGGAGCCCTCAACCTCGCTTCCCCAGAGGTTCGCATTGAAGCCGAGTCCGAACTCAACGACCCCGTAGCCGATGTAAAAACCAAAGCTCTCCTTGACACAAACAGTCTCGTTGAAGAGTTCATGCTTCTCGCCAACATCACCGTCGCCTCACGCATTTACCAAGCATTCCCACAAACCGCCCTCCTTCGTCGCCACGCCACACCTCCTCCACAAAACTTCGAACAACTAATCGCTCAACTTTCCAAGAAGCGCGGATTTTCACTCGACGTATCTAGCTCCCTTGCCCTCGCAACCTCCCTAGACAAATGCGTCGACCCGTCCAATCCCTTCTTTAACACCTTGATCCGTATCCTTGCAACCCGTTGCATGACATCAGCCGAATACTTCTGCGCCGGCGCCCATGCAGAAACAGAATTCCGGCATTACGGCCTCGCTTCACCCATCTACACGCATTTCACTTCCCCCATCCGTCGATACGCCGATCTAGTCGTCCATCGCCAACTTGCCGCCGCCATTGGGTACGAAGGACCAGGCGCGTCAGTGGGAGAAGGTCTTACGACTCGGAGTAGGTTAGAAGATATCTGCAAGAATATCAACCACCGGCACCGCAACGCGCAATTCGCCGGCCGGGCCAGCATAGAATACTACGTCGGACAAGCGCTCAAGGCGCGGGGGGAGATGGAAGCTACAAAGTCCGGGAGCGAGACCGGCGCGGCGGCGGGCGTGGATGAGGAAGGGTATGTGATGCGCGTGTTTGACAATGGGGTTGTGGTGTTTGTGCCGAGATTTGGCATCGAGGGTGTGGTTCGGCTGGAGGATTTTTTGCTTCCAGGTCAGAAGGCGGAGGAGCTTGGGACTACTGGCGGGAAACAGATTGCTGGGATGAGGGAGAGTGAGTTTGATCCCGACGAGTATGCGTTGAGGGTGCGGGAGAGGCACCAGGAGAGGGAGGGTGGAAAGGCGGCAAAGGCCAGCGTCTTCGTTGAGTTGTTTGAGAAGGTCAAAGTCAATGTCAGCTCTGTAAAAGAAGAAGGGGTTCGTGGAGCCGGAAAGCGGAGGGTGCGGATTCTGGTTTTGGGAAAGGCGTGATGATTTAGCATCGTTGCTATCTTCATGAATGATATTTTGGGGTGGGACATGACATGCATGCATACATATTATTAGGACACTGTGGCATTATTTGAAAGAAAAATATGCTCTTGCAAAATCTATGAAATATCTTCGAAATCTGTACGCTGTCATTTTGATACTCATTTGATTGGCTCTACAACCAGAGTTAAACAGACATAAGTTTTATTACAGCGAACAGCTATGTTTGATATGTAACGGAAAAGATATATTTTGGAAATTGTCTAGTCTTTTAGAATATTTGCGAAAAGAAGAGAATTATACGTAGAAGAAATCTAAGTCACGCTTCAAATGCGGGCTAACCGAAATCATCGATGTCGTTATGCAGGGCCACGAGGGGAATAATAATGAAGGTGGTTTTGTGTCCAAAGAATTTTGATTCCACCAGGTTCGAGTTGCTCACCAGGGTAGTTAGATCAAAGATCCAGCGTAAAAAATGAAGGTCTTGTTTCCTGTTTTAAACTTGGGCGCTTCGGGCTCTCGGATTAGACATGGCTTCGGGCTAGCATTCTGCGGAGCAAGCAGAATGGAGACCAAATGCGAGTGTCGATCTCAGTCGATACGGCGGCAACTAGGTGGTGAGGAGAATTTATTGCGATACCATCAGGGACTTTTTCCACAGGGCCTCCTTTCACGGTTCGCGTATTACCGAGTGCAAGGGTTGCTTCCCTCTTCTGTGCCGCGATCTCTCTGTCACCGATTTTCCAGCCCCGGACGAGCCATAAGCTAATGCCAGCAGCAACATATACCAGACCAGCGAAGATTTGTGCGTAGAGATAAACCCAGTTATTTTTTGAATCGTCCTTAAGTAGGACGGCGATTGGCTCTGACACGGTGGTCGGTGGCACTAGGAGGACCCAAGTGATACTAAGCCCGGCGGGCAATTCCTGCATGCCAATAACTTCTGCGCACACTGGCGCGGCAGTTGCCCAAAATGTGCCAGCAACGGTGCCCACAATTATGGCGAAGAAGGATAGCACTCCCATGTTGAAAGATGGGATCCAAACCGCGAAGCAAAGTAGGCCACAGACAAAAGTAAAGAATGTGGCCATATTGATTCGACCGAAACGGTCGCTGATAAGGCCAACTACCGGTCGGCCAAGGCCTTGGCCCAAATTGAGCAGGGCGCCGACAATACTCCCTTGATGTGCAGAAAGGCCAATGGAGAGGGCAAAATTGGGGAGACTGAAGAGAAGGACAACGTAGCCAAGTAAACTGAAACCGCCCCAAAGTTGGAGGAGAAGGAATTCTGGCCGTTTGAGCAGCGGTAGATGGAATGCCCGGTAGCGGCTTCCTATAGCCTTATTCCGATCTCTCAGTAGGTTGCATGCTACTAAATTGATGCAGAACGTGGTTATTCCAAGAACACGAAATGCCCATCCCAGCCCGAGACGGGGAATCATGGCACCTGCACCCAAGGAGTACGCTAATCCGCCAATGCCAGAGCCAGCGGCAGCAATGGAATTGGCAACACTTCGTTTCTTCAAGAACCATTGTGGAGTGATCCCAACAGAACCGATGAAAATAAAGCCCATTCCCAGACCGAAACATACGCCCTGGCTGAGAAACAAGTGCCATTGCTGTGTGGCGAAGGAAGCTGCAATAAACGAAATGGTTTGGACGCAAATGCCTACGTTCAGGATTATGCGATGACCGAAAAGATGTATTAGATATGTAACGAGAGGGGATATTAAGAGCGCGCAAGACATGCTTAAGCCGCCGGTAAAAGCGTACGCGAGTGGACTCATGTTGGGAAATATTTCGTTCGAAAGATAGTGGGATAGAAACACGCCGTACGACTACATTAGATGAAGATCAGTAAGTCGCCATCTCTCAAAGCGGTAAGGGTAGCATACACTGTTCACTCCCCATGTATTTCCATTTATGAAAGCTGCACATGCCACACACACCCAGCCATAACCACCATCTGGTGGAACATCATCTGGTGGCTTTTCTTCTAGACCATCTTCAGCGGATGAGGGAGTTGGATCATCTCCAAAAAGTTCAGCATTGTCGGGGTCTCGTTTCTCATGCGCACCGGCCGGTGGACGGCGCACCGGGTGGGCATCTTGTAACGTTGCGATATCGCCCATTGCTTTGCTTACGCCCTGTTTAGAGAAACTTCGTGTGGTTTCAAAGAGGGTTCTTTGAAAAGAGTTGTCAAAGCAAAAGTCAACGGTTTCCGGGCAATGGCTAAACGAGCATTTGCAACATGCAGCCAGCTTTATGTGAAAATGGAAAAAGTGACTAAATCAATGAGAGGGTCATTGTGCAAAGCCTACGACGGGTTGCCCAATACCAAGCTCATTCGTGCACGGCCTGAAAGAAATATGATTGAAAAGCAACGGTCGAGTCGAGTGGTGTGCTTCTGAACTCTTTGAACTCACTTCGCCCGGCTACGCTCACCATTCGCAGTTAGGAGTTTTTCTGGAACCCCGGTAATTGAAATTTGGGGTCAAAACATGCGTCCTAGGGCCCCCGTGGAGGCGACCAAGTTAATCTGGTTTGGGGTACGGAGTACTTGGGAACCGTGCCTAGGCATCTCTGAGCTGGTTCAATAATGGGGCTACCGAAGCCGGGAACCTCTCTCAGAAAGCCGCTAGATTTCCAGAATCGCTCGTCAAGCGTGGGAGTGTGGGCAAGATGCGCTCGGCGAGGCCCATTGGACATGGTTGCCAGGTGGCGTGTGGGGTTCCCGTATCCTTGCTGTGCTTTCCCCGAGGGTGCAGTTTAGCTTCGGGTAGTGGTGCCGATTGACCCGGCCATGATGGGAGAACTCAATTCCCGGCCAAAGCAGCATCTTGCAGCCCCTTGCCTTTGGACGAAAATGAAGGACATCCGGCATTTTGCGAGCGGATCTGACAAATGCGAAGCTCCAGATCTAGTTAGCTGGAGACGCTTCTGGCTGGAACCGACGGGCACGAGGGAATTGTGCGGTGGCGTGCGCGTGGTCGAAGCCATTGGAAGGGATCAGCAGCGGCATTTTCGCGTGGTTGTGCCGATCGCGAAAAGAGAGACGAAGCGAGAGACGAGCCTGAAGAAGCGAAGAGGAAGAGAAGAGACGAAGATTGAAGCTGAAGCCCGTCGTCGCTCCGACGCACGTGACCCGCCGTTTCCGTTTTGGGCCGGTTAGAGCTAACGTTCCCTGGCTGGGCCGTAATGTACCACACAGTCAGTTTCGTGCGGACAGTACGGAGTACAGTTGAAGGGCTAGCCCGAAGCAGACTAGCGCCGTTGGCCTCGCAACGGCAGTCATGTGACCCGGCAAAACAAACGGGGCGGCGGCTGATACGTCACCGCCCTCGATGTGTTGGCGTTTGTTGATACGCGAGGAGCCCGGGGATGGCCTCGTCGTCCTTGGATATTCAAAGACGAGAGACCCCTTATTCCTAGAAAGAATCTCAGGAATACTCTATCCCTATCTCAGAGAGGCACTTGGTATTACTCAAAGAGCATGGTCCATTCGATTCGGCTCAAAACGGGCTCGCGGAAGGTGTCTCCGCCGAACCCGACGTTTATGAACGATGATCAACTCGGTGAGTGCTAGCAACGGCCTGAGAATATATCCTGCAGGTCAGGGTATGGCCTAAATCAGCAGCAACGCTTTGCGTTTCCAGGAGTCAATTGAGTGCCTGAAGCTTGCATAATGTGACCTGTAGTTGACTTAATCCTTCCGTGCAGCGTACTACCTCAAGGACCTTCGAAGTAACCGCCCACCTCGACCTCATGGCTCACGCCCGCTGCCCACAAAGGAGCCAACTGCCTCTGCCGCCCCATTGAACCGTGAGCTGCCTCCCAGAGCGTCGTCGGCGCTCTCGATGTCCAGGCCAGGGGATTCTACCAGAGCAACCGCCAGTGACCTCTTCCCGCGCTCTTCCAGTGCTCTATCACATCGTCGGAATGTATCAGAGATCTCACCACAGAACGGCGAATGCCCTGGTATTCCAGAAGACAGTGTGCATGAACACCCGCGAAACCTATCGGCGGCGACATCGCCAAGTGGTCAGTACCGGGAAAATGGTCGCCGATGGATCGAAAGACAGGATGCACGTTCGCTGCGAAATGCCCTAGAGGAAATGGATCTGCAGGACGACGAACAGCAACTCTACGCTGCAGCTCAGGCAGAGGCCGTTGATCTAGTCCTACAGCATCAAATGCATGGATTCCCTGAACAAAACCCCCATGCTCCCTATAATAATCCGGACTACCCGAACCAGTTTCGCCGGCATCCGGAGAAATGGGGACAATTCGGAGGCCATGACTCTACCTTGTCACAACCAGAGAGGGATCGTTCCGTATCTGATAGTTCCACCGGAAGCGCCCCTAACAGGTCCTCACTCCCCCCGGGAAATGCCCCGACAAGGACCGGAGTGCCTCAAGATAGCACCACGTTGAAAGTGAAGAAAAACTCGTCTGTGAAAAGAACATCCAAAGTAAATTTTGCTTTACCAGAAGATGACAGGCAGCATAACCCCCAACAGCAGACGTCATCGAGAATGTCGAGCGGTGATTCTTCAAAGGGGTTGTTTAGAAACCCGAGAGATCGGATTTATGAAGAGCTTGAAGATTCCGATTCCAAGGACGAAATCAAAACGAGCGCATTCGCCCCGATCACTTCTGCTCTCAGGTTGAAGTCTCGAAATTCCATCCCACACGGCGCTCGCCCGCTCCCGGGACAACATACAACAGGTAGCAATATCAAAAAACCGTCAATTTTTGACGTCTACAGGAATGCCTCAACTCAATCCAAAAACCCGCTATACAAAACAAACGCATTCCCCACTGCGGCTAAAGCTTCCGGAGGATCCGATACAACGCCAACGAAAAATGGCATCGAAATACGAAGTGATGACATACGTGCTGCAACTAGTATGAGATTCAAGGACCGGAGTTCCAAGCTCCCAATGCCATCAGCTGTCAGTGATCGGCCTGGTCGTCCCATTGTGAGTTTTGACCCTGACTGGAAAGCTCCAGATAAGGAAACCCCTGCCGATTCGGGAAGAGACTCTCGAGGTAGCTTCGGGCGCTCGTCTCCCCGGCCCTCGACTGAGGTTACCCCTGCTTCATCGAAAAACTCAGTGCCGGCCATCAGCGTGAACGAAGCTGCCGATATCCCTACGATTAATATTGCCTGTGAAGAATCGACTAAGCCGTCAGTGACCATATCGGAGCTCGGCCCGCCCGTCTCTGCACTAACCCCCCAACAGGATCAGAAGCCCCGAGAACTCCCTGACCCCAAAAAATATGCACAGGATCAACGCGCCAAGAAGACATTGGCCTTTTCCCGAAACCGCAACAGCCATATCACGCCAACAAACATCAATGCGCCGGCGGCAGCCTGCGCGGCCTGTGGTCTACCCATCTCCGGGCGAATAGTAACAGCTTGCAATCACCGTCTTCACCCTGAATGCTTCACATGCTACCATTGCAGCACGCCTCTTGAATGTGTTGCCTTTTATCAAGAACCGGACTCCAGCACGAGGGTGCGGACATCTTGTAGGATCGCTCGTCGTCCCAGGTCGCCGAAAATGGCTGTGAGTGGCTGGGCATAGAATTCATCTTCAGTTTCCATCGAGGACGGGTCGTAGTTGTCTTCTAAACCACTGGAGGACACTGGCAGGGCACCTCTGCACTGTGTCAGGTCCAGATGGCGAAACACATAGGGCGTGTCCATGACAAGCGACCTCATCGTTTTGTTGGTCGACGCCAACGACAGCAACGATGCGACCGACATATAAGGCGCCAGATGGTCGATCACCAGGGAGTTTGACAAAATGTCCGACAGCGACG